TTTACCTTTTGGATGCGGCTCATGTTTATAACAGTAATCTTGGGGGGGGGGTAAACTCGTATAATGTAATCATCTTGGGGGGTGTGTGTCTGTGTCTGTGATACACTAGCAGTCAAAATCATTAAGATTTTGTAATGCTTTTGAAAGTCTCTCCTGGTCTCCAAGGTGTTGTAGCGAATTTAGCTCACAACAGGAAATATGAATAATTAACCATAACTAGTTATGATTAATTATTAATATTTTAGATCCACTGTAGATATTTGCCATGCAACAAAGAGGCCTGTTCGACTTCCTGGGGTGTTACGCATTCCGGGGGGAAGGGTCCATGGGTCCTCATATGGCTTGTTAACTGAGGGTACAGAGGATTTGTCATATAAAAAGAGAATTTATAGTGTGTTGGATTGGTCCAGACGCTACAGTGTGAACAATGAAGCTTTATAGTTGAGCATGAGTCTTTACTTTATCCGACGATATTATCATCATTATCAAAGGGTAATTTATCGTACGTCTCAGAAAATATTTGCTAAACAGGTTTTTAATATCAATAACTGTGGTATATTGCTCTGGGTGCAGTCATGCTCGCACGCAATTTTTTTTTTAAGTCAAAAGATTGGAATCATGAGGATTTTCACGAAGGCTGCATACTTGATCAAACATAATATTACTCTTTTCTATTTCATCAAAAACCATTTTCTATTTGACTGCATTCAAAAATGTAATTTATTTCTGTTTTTATGAATTTTTTCAGGATTCTTTGATGAACAGAAAGTTGAAAAGAACTGCATTTATTTGAAATAAATCTTTTGTAACATTAAAAATTCATTATGACTTGATCAATTTATTGCATTAATCTAAAGCTGAACCTCTCTCAGGAATATTTGGGAACGATCTTATTAGTAAAAGTGTAAAGTTTAAAAATACTATGTTTACAAAAAAGTTTCTTGTTAATATGTGGTCATTATGATGACATTTTCTATGAAAATAATAGAAGTACATGATATCAGTGTTGTTAAAACTATGAAACATTTAAAAAATGTAAATAATAGATGGAAAAACAAATGACTTATTTTAGTTAGTTGCAAGTTTTCTATTTTTTCTAGGTTTAAGATGAAATACTAAAATGACCAAAACTAATACTGAAAGAAAAATAAACTAAAGGTAAATGGGAATCGTTTAAAAACAAAAAAACTAAAGTGTGTATGCGTGTAATTCATGTTGGCTCAAGTGCATTAAATAATATTAAAAGATACAACTTTTGATTTTAATAATGTATTAGTAACTGTTGAAATTAACTGAAATTAATAAATGCTTTAGAAGTATTGCTAGTTTTGAGTTAATAATGTAGTTAAGTGGAACCATATCATGATTTTATATAGTAAACTGACTGGACAATAAACATCAGAACCAAATTCTCTTTCTAATGAACGCATGGAAACTCATGGTCTTGAGCTGCTGAATGTAGAACCCAACATATATTAAGTTTAAGTTATATTAAGCCATTTATGTTTAAGGTCAAGCTGATTTTACTTTTAAAAGATAGAAGTGGCACCTGTTTCATGGAGTGATAAAATCAATGATTTTCTCTCCGTTTCAGGTTTGATTTGGCTTACATTAATGACAGCCATATATACATATGAGCAATATTGTTGTGTTTGCATAGTTATTACAAAGAATGAACACTAGGGAAAGCTATAGAACTAGATGAGAGAGATGGGAGATGGGGATGTGAATTCGGTCTGGATTAAAGTGTTGTTAATCCAAGGAATCCGTGTGCCGTCATATCGTTTATTGTTTTGTAAAAGTTAGTTACAGTTCAACAAATTGGCGACGAGATGGTTTAAAACTGTATTACGCAACAATGGCTACATTGAATGCTCCATTCCCAGACTTATTTCTACCTTGGGAGATTTACTGCTTAGGAACTGAAGGGCAAAGGATTTTTAGTACTTTACCAGAGACTGGAGACTGCTAACACTGCATTGAGCACACATTGTACACCTGCCATAAATGTCGTGGTGGAACGTCATAATTTCCGGAAACGAGTGCAAGGCGCTCATGAGTCCATAGTGAACTACAGTCATGGCCAAAAGTTTTGGCAGTGACATAAATGTTGTGTTTTGCAAAGTTTGCTGCATCAGTCTTTGTAGAGATTCTTTTTCCTCATGTTTCTATGGTATACTGAAAAATAATGATAAGCATAGCATAAGTTTTAAAGGCTTTTATTGGCAAAAAAGGTATATATGAGTCAATATTTACAGTGTTGACCCTTGTTCTTCATAACCTCTGCAGGTAGCTCTGGCATGCTGGATATTAGCTTCTGGGCCAAATCCTGACTGATGGTGATCCATTCTTGCCTTATTAGTTCTCGGAGTTGATCACAATTTGTGGGCTTCTGCTTGTCCTCTCGCCTTGTGAGGACTGACCACAGGTTCTCTATGGGATTGCGATCCGGGGAGTTGCCTGATAACGAATCCAACATTTCAATGTAATGATCTTCAGGCCTCTTCTTTATCACTCTTGCTTTGTGACACGGTGCTCCATCATGCTGGCAGATGCACGGATCATCACCAAATTGCTCATGGATCGTTGGAAGAAGTTGCTCTTGCAGGACGCTTTGATATCATTCTTTATTCATGGCAGTGTTTTTGGGAAAAAAGTTTCTTGTTAATATGTGGTCATTATGATGACATTTTCTATGAAAATAATAGAAGTACATGATATCAGTGTTGTTAAAACTATGAAACATTTAAAAAATGTAAATAATAGATGGAAAAACAAATGACTTATTTTAGTTAGTTGCAAGTTTTCTATTTTTTCTAGGTTTAAGATGAAATACTAAAATGACCAAAACTAATACTGAAAGAAAAATAAACTAAAGGTAAATGGGAATCGTTTAAAAACAAAAAAACTAAAGTGTGTATGCGTGTAATTCATGTTGGCTCAAGTGCATTAAATAATATTAAAAGATACAACTTTTGATTTTAATAATGTATTAGTAACTGTTGAAATTAACTGAAATTAATAAATGCTTTAGAAGTATTGCTAGTTTTGAGTTAATAATGTAGTTAAGTGGAACCATATCATGATTTTATATAGTAAACTGACTGGACAATAAACATCAGAACCAAATTCTCTTTCTAATGAACGCATGGAAACTCATGGTCTTGAGCTGCTGAATGTAGAACCCAACATATATTAAGTTTAAGTTATATTAAGCCATTTATGTTTAAGGTCAAGCTGATTTTACTTTTAAAAGATAGAAGTGGCACCTGTTTCATGGAGTGATAAAATCAATGATTTTCTCTCCGTTTCAGGTTTGATTTGGCTTACATTAATGACAGCCATATATACATATGAGCAATATTGTTGTGTTTGCATAGTTATTACAAAGAATGAACACTAGGGAAAGCTATAGAACTAGATGAGAGAGATGGGAGATGGGGATGTGAATTCGGTCTGGATTAAAGTGTTGTTAATCCAAGGAATCCGTGTGCCGTCATATCGTTTATTGTTTTGTAAAAGTTAGTTACAGTTCAACAAATTGGCGACGAGATGGTTTAAAACTGTATTACGCAACAATGGCTACATTGAATGCTCCATTCCCAGACTTATTTCTACCTTTACTGCTTTACTGCTTAGGAACTGAAGGGCAAAGGATTTTTAGTACTTTACCAGAGACTGGAGACTGCTAACACTGCAACATTGTACAATTGTACACCTGCCATAAATGTCGTGGTGGAACGTCATAATTTCCGGAAACGAGTGCAAGGCGCTCATGAGTCCATAGTGAACTACAGTCATGGCCAAAAGTTTTGGCAGTGACATAAATGTTGTGTTTTGCAAAGTTTGCTGCATCAGTCTTTGTAGAGATTCTTTTTCCTCATGTTTCTATGGTATACTGAAAAATAATGATAAGCATAGCATAAGTTTTAAAGGCTTTTATTGGCAAAAAAGGTATATATGAGTCAATATTTACAGTGTTGACCCTTGTTCTTCATAACCTCTGCAGGTAGCTCTGGCATGCTGGATATTAGCTTCTGGGCCAAATCCTGACTGATGGTGATCCATTCTTGCCTTATTAGTTCTCGGAGTTGATCACAATTTGTGGGCTTCTGCTTGTCCTCTCGCCTTGTGAGGACTGACCACAGGTTCTCTATGGGATTGCGATCCGGGGAGTTGCCTGATAACGAATCCAACATTTCAATGTAATGATCTTCAGGCCTCTTCTTTATCACTCTTGCTTTGTGACACGGTGCTCCATCATGCTGGCAGATGCACGGATCATCACCAAATTGCTCATGGATCGTTGGAAGAAGTTGCTCTTGCAGGACGCTTTGATATCATTCTTTATTCATGGCAGTGTTTTTGGGGAGAATCATGAGAGAGCCCACTCCCTTGGTTGACAAGCAACCCCACACATGGATGGTCTCGGGATGCTTCACTGTTGGCATGACACAGGACTCATGGTAGCGTTAATCTTTTCTTCTCTGAACAATCGATTCTCCAGATGTCCCAAACAGTCGGAAGGGAGCTTCATCAGGGAAAATAGCTTTGCACCACTTATAACTTTCCTGGTGCTTGCTGGACACTCTGGGACATCCTGAAGACTTCTTCACTGCAGTCGAACCTCTCTCTTGAAGCTCTTGATGATCCGGTAAATGGTTCTTTTAGGTGCAATATTCTTTGTAGCAGTTTCCTTGCATGTGAGGCCATTTTGATGCAAAGCGATGATGGCTGCACGTGTTTCTTTGGAGGTAACCATTGCTAACAAGAGCACAATGACTGGAAGCGCTTCTTCTCTCCTTTTATAGCAATCAGTCTGCTCTTACAATATTAGTATGATAGTGATTTAACCTGACTAGTACTCGTTCACACTTTCACATGTGCTGCTTTCTTAGTGTTTTTAGGGATGTGACCAAACAAGTTGCAGTATTTCTCCGAACTGTGTAATACGGAGTGCTTTTTCAGGCTGTTTTCAATGGACTTTAGAGCCATAAAATGAGTGAATGATTAATTTCGCTGCAGAAATGATACTTCGGGTTGGCCACGGTGAACAACGAAGCAGTTCCTCACAGCGACCGGATCAAATATAGATACAAATATTCAGTAGCTAATAACTCTTTAGTACCTTTAAGTTGTGTGTTTAGTAGCTGATGCTGAAACGGCTGTGAGGGAGAGTAAAGACCCGCGTCATCTGTCCATCTTTTCCGTCTAATGCTTAATTTATAAATTGAATTCATCAGAGCAGCGCATGGTTGGCCAGTGATGGAGGAAAGTAAGGTAAGAGAAACTCTCTTAATGATAAAACATCAAATAAGAAGCGATTTCATCCGATTCTTCTTTCTCTCTATGACAGACTGATCATGTAACTCCACCCACAACTCCAAACAAAGCCACGCCCTCTCCGCCAGTGTCCTATGAACGGCCGAGTGAGTGCAACCATTATTTTTGAATGTTGAAAATGTTTAAAACGTTTTTCTTGGTTATGTTAACGCTAATATTAACATTCCATTTTACAATTTTGCAAGCATTTTGTGAATGTTCTCGAAACCATGTTAGATGAACGTCCAACTAAAATGTTCCATAAACAATGTATAAAGCATGTTTTTGATGTCAGCATGCTTACTAACTATGCACACAGTGATTGGCTGATAGTCTCAGTCAGAGATTTATTGTAGAGTGTGATGTTATGTTGCTATATTCAAATAAATGTTTAAAAATGCAGGCTAAGTGTCACTAATTAAACAAGTATTCAGCTAATTGTCAGCCTCGTACATGTGTGCTTCTCCTAAACAATCAGCAGATGCACAGCCTTTTAATTAACAGAGTAGAATAATCATGGCTGATACAAGACATGCAAATGCTGGTTAATGAAAACAAGGATATAATCAATGGAACATTCGGAGCTGGGATAACCTCCAAAACCAAAGTTAATGCCTTTTTAGAAGCTCATTATCGTCAAAAGTTTCTAAAATGTTTTCGTTCCAAGGCAGATTGCCGGCAAGCAACAGCCGTTTCACACTAAAAAAAAAAAAAATTATTCACTGAATTTACTCAATTTTTTAAGGTAAGTGGTTGCAATCAATTTATTTCAGCGACAGCGTGATCACGATGGCGCCGACGCTGATGGCTGCCTCCGAGGCGTGCTCCGCAGTTGTTTTTATGTTTTTGTTAGTTTGTCCTGTCTTTAGTTATATCCCTGCAATCAGTTTCACCAGAGACGAATTGCTGGACATTCGGCAGTACACACCACCTGATATTTCACCGGTTTTCGACTATTCTGATGTTTTGCTGGACATTGTAGTCGGGGGAGCTGTGGCGCTGATCAAGTGCTTCAGGACGCGCAGATGGGGAAGCGAGCCAGCGCGCTCCTGAAGCTCAGACAGCGCGGATTCAGAATGCTGTTGCCTAGCATCCATCTGGCGAACCTCCGCTCTCTACCCAACAAAACGGACAAACTCATTCTGCTCTCCCAGACAAATAAGGATTTTTCTAACTCTGCTGTTTTCACTGAAACCTGGCTGAAAGACGTCATTCCGGACAGCGCGTTGAGTCTCCCGGGCTTTCAGCTGTTCAGAGCGGATCGCAACGCAGAATCACCAGGGAAATCACGTGGTGGCGGGGCATGCTTTTACATCAATGGGAGGTGGTGTACAGATGTAACTGTGTTAAAGAAGATGTGCTGTTCAGATCTAGAAGTGCTCTTCATTAACTGCAAGC